TGCTGTGGCTCAGATCCAGGAAATCAAGGCACTTTATTTTAAATGGCCAAGTAAATAAAGAAGATACAAAAGAGCAAGTTCCATCCTGCCTGATGCAGCCTGTAGAAAAACGTATCACACTTAAAAGGAGATACATAGATTAACTTCACATATGATCAGGACATTTAAATACAATTAAATCTACATAGTAGCTAATAGATTTTAGTACCTGCAAATACAGCAACCCCAATGTTGTAAGGAGCTCCGTGTTTTCTGGAGAAAACCTGAAATACAAATTCCATGGTTTTATAGTCTCTTGATAGCACTAATAGAAAGTAAAGCACAGACCACCTGAAATGCCACTAAAAATAATAATAATAAACCACCATCTGTGAAACTATTACTCTGACTTGGACAAAACAATATCACCACCACCATGTTGCCTTCAAATAACATGTTACACATGCGCATCTCAAAATTCTTTACAAGAATGAATGAATCCTCAGGAATCTCTGTGAAGTAGGCAGTATTCACTATGAGTACACCCAGGTGTGAAAGACTAGATGACTTCAGATCTCACAATAGGTCAGTGTAAGAACTGGAGAAGGTGCTTGGCACCCCCTTTCTGCTTTCACAACTAGGCCATTGCCCCTTAGATACAATGCAAGAGATACCTTTGTAGTTAATGGGTAATGCACACTATTCTGCTCAACAGAACTAAGACATGCTCTAAATAAAGACTTAAAATGAGTGTGCCATGGTTTTAATGATATATTTGTGATGCCCAAGCCCTCATATCTAACTGCATCTATGGACACCAGGTTTTTAAATTCTTGAAAGCCTCCCCATCACCAGGGTATTTCAGGCACATCACAATTTGATGAAAAATCACAGCAACAAAGAAAAGGCAGGTCAGAGGCACCAAGATTAACAAGGCAGATATTCATATATAAATCAGTTTTCAAATCCCAGCTAGGGTTGCAAAAAATGTGACACTTATATTGCACTGACACCTACAAGGTTTCAACCAGGGTGAAGCCTGGTGTGCCCAGCGCTGTACAAAAATATAATGACTGTCCATACCCCAAAAGCTTCCCATCTATAAAAGGCAAGACAATAACAGGTGGATGAAAAAAAATCAGGGAGAGGGTAAGAGGTAACAAAAATAATAGTATACTTTACCAGAGACCAGCTGTGGGCACAGTTGTTAATTAGTAGAAATAATTGCTAGTTGTCCATCTTAGGCATTTGTCCACTGGCTCATTTAACTTCTCTATCAATCTGTTTCCAGGAATGGCTTGACACAATACAGATCAGGATTCAGAGACACTGACTGGGTGGGAGAAACTCGCATAGCACCTCTGTTTCTACCAGCCTATTTAGCCCTCATGTTCATTCACAAAATAGCATATAAATCCCTAACAGGTAGGGCTATGCGAAACAACACCATTTCATTTCAACTTCCATTTCATCATTTCGAAGAGACAGTGTTTCGTTTCATCAGTTCGTTTTGAAGCTCTGTTCCAGTTCGTTTTGTCAAAACTGTTTTGCTGTTTTGACACATTTCGACGTTTCGCCCATAGGCTATAATGGGGAATCATGAAAATGCCTAGAACTTTGTCATTTCTTGCCTGATTTGGATGAAAATTGCAGGGATGGTAGCCCCTTCTGAGGGCACGAAGCCTGCCAAGTTTCAAGGAGATAGGTACAAGAGTTTCTGGGAAACCTCATCTCAAACTGTTCAAAGCAAAACTTGTATCACTTGTCAGCAGTGGCAGCCTGCTGTCATCCCGCACGCAGATCTGGGGGCCCGCGCCCCCTGGGAGGGCTGCAGGGCTGTGCTGGACTCCTCCCAGGGGTGCGGACCCCCAGATCTGTGCTGGATGACAGGAGGCTGCCGGGCCTTGTTGCTGCCCGCCGGCCTGCTGCTGCCAGCTGGGGCCAGCGTCAGCACCCAAGTCTGCCTGGCACAGCCTGCGCCGAGCTCTGGGAAGAACCCAGAGCTGACACTGGACCCAGCTGGCAGCGGCAGCCTGCTGTCATCCCACACACAGATCGGGAGGCCCGCACCCCCTGGGAGGAGTGGCACAGCCCCACAGCCCTGCCAGGAGGTGGAGGCCTCCAGATTGGCGCATGGGATGACAGCAGGTTGCCGCTGCCAGCTGGGGCCAGCAGCAGCACCCAGCTTCCCGGCACTTGGCACAGGCTGTGCCCAGCATCAGTCCCAGCCATCAGTGGCAGCCTGCTGTCATCCCACATGATCCAAGGGCCCGCGCCCCCCGGGAAGAGCTGGGGGAAGCGATCAGAGAGCTGGGGGATCCAACCAGGAACTGGGGAAATGTTCAGGGACCTAAGCATTCCCCCAGCTCCTGGTTCAATTCTGCAGCTCCCGGTTTGATTCCCCAGCTCTTCCCGGGGTGGGGGGAGCATGGGCCCCCAGATTTGTGTGCTGGGTTTCAGCAAACTGCCACTACAGTTTCAGCTGGGGAAATGATCAGAGAGCTGGGGAATCGAACAGCGAGCTACATGTCAATATCAGAGAGCAATCCTTCCCCTCTCTTCCCCTGCCCTCTCCTTAGTTTCTGTTTAGGTGCAACAGGCCCGGCTTTGAAACTTGAAATGTTTTGAAACTTTCAAAATGTTGAGTGTCCTCCTTTCATTTTAAAGCTGTTTCGAAGCCTTTTGTTTCATTTTGATTTTGCTTTTTCGAGCTCGAAATGTGTCAAAACATCTTTGAAATGAAACACCCATCGAAATTTCGCACAGCTCTGCCAACAGGCCCAAAATTACACTTGATGGCACTGCTATTGCCAGCAATGGAGTTGACAGTCCCGAGCAGCTCTCAATCATTGCTAGTTCTTAATCTTTTGCAGATGAATCTTAGGAGTTGGGAAGTGCAGTGTAAACATATTTGTTCCTAGGCATCTCCATTCATTTGTTCTTCATCCTTCTTTTGCCAGAGGTTTCAAATAGTTATCTCTGCCCTGACATGCTGTCAGTTGGAACAGGAGCATTGTAACTTAGAGCAATGGTGCCTAGCTTGGAAGTGCTTACAGAGGCATTGGCTGAAGTCTTGTTTTTTAAATCATGCATTTCTGTTCTGAATTCAGATGAGACACCAATCAAATTTCTCCCAGCATAGAAAAAAAGGGGGAAAGGAGGGGAAAAGAAGAGTAAAATTCTTACTCCACTGCTGTCTTATAGACTTCTATGGCTTTGTCAGTCTCCCCTTCCAGAAGGTAAATTTTTCCCAGCATTATGTATGTCAGATCATGTCTGTTCAGCTGCAGGGCTTTGTTCAGCTGGTCTCGTGCCTATATACAAACACCACGCACAACACAGAGTGAAAATTAGTGGGGTTGTAGAATTCAAAATGAAGCAATGGCCAAAGAGGCCTCA